CGCTATCTGAGCCCTTAGAAGGTGGCGGTGAATGTCATGCAGTTGGTCGTCGTCGACGCAGGTATAGGCGAGAGACTCTTGGACGTATTGAAGAGGAATGGGGATGCCTCATGTTCTTTATGGATAAGGCTAAGGACAAGAGAGACAAGGCTGCTATGAAGGATGCAACAGGTGGTTAACAATCGGAAGGTCCCTGGTTCGATTCCCGGTACGTGCATTTTTACAGGCACCGAGAAACTCACCATATTCGGAGCTCAACGAAGCCGTCGTGGAGCCCTACTTAAGGTGTGTCTACTACTGACCATTCCTTTTCCACTTCGTTACCGCCCTCAGGTGATGTCGTCGGTTGAAACTAAGAACCCTGGATGGTTCACAGATGGCTGCACTGAGAAGCGCCATAAGGACGTGAAGGGCTTCGCTACTGACAGGTGGGCTTTTGGGCTCGACATTGGGAATATGTAGAGATGATGATCAGGCTGTACCTGTCGTCGGATGATCTCTCCTATGCTTTGGGTAAGCGAGGAACAACTAGGAAGAAGTTGGCCGCTGCTTCTGGGTGTATATTGGAGTATGTGGGGCAGTGGTGCTTCATGGCTGGCACTGAGGCGCAGAGGGAGAGGTGCCGTAAGTATTTGAAGTGGCTGACCGCACAAAGGCATGGACCTGTTAGTCTTGGTAGTAGAGATTTGAGGTAAGAGGACGATGTGGGGGAGGTGTGGTATGGTTGGCTTTTATTGTAGGGGAAGAGATGACTGGGATAGAGTTGAAGTGAAGAGGGAGCTACGCTCGCAGTTGGCTGGTAATCGTGGTCAAGAACTGAGGCGTGTCGAAGAGGACACCAGCACGTTCTGTTTCATGGCATATAATGAGGATAAGAGCGATGAAAGGCTGTTGGTGTTTGGGTATAGTCAGGCCAATAGGGAGAGGGCTATACGCCAGGTGGGTTATTGGCTTTATGTGTGAGCTGAACAACAACGTGTTTTATGGCAGATTGAAGAGCTTCTACGACAATTTGAATACGGCAGAGGAGGGTATGATGATGATTACTCGTATGGAGGCTCGCGTGGGGGGTATAATGACAGGGGTGGCGGCTCGTCGTACTATGGTGGTGGTCGTGGTGGTGACAGTTATTATGGGAGGGGTGACAGTTATTATGGTGGCCGTAGAGGAGGTGACTGGTGGGGTAGCAGTTCGAGAGATCGTAGGGATAGTGGTTATAATAGAGGAGGTAACAGGAGGTCTCGATCGGCCTCCTATGGTGACTATAGGGAGAGCAGGAAGAGAGACTACTA